TGCTACAGACATGAGCTTGCTCAGATTCCTCCTTTGCTGCTAACGTGCGTGCTCAAGTTAGTGTCTTTGGGATAAATGACTCCTTTCAAAATAAACACGGTGAATTCTTAGAACTCATCTAAGCAGCAAAGGAAATCCCCTGAACAAACTGGGTCTGATGCAGGGGTTTGGAGTTACACGCTGAGAAACTCTGCTTGTTTAACAGAGAGGCTTTCTCTAGGGTAATAAAACTCTTGCATTGCTGTGCCAGGGATTTTCCATTAGGTGTGTGTCAGCGGGTGGTGGGAGCTGCAGTTTCTGTGGCCGGTCATAGAAATGGAGTGAGATCACCCCGGAGAAGCCGACCACAGATCCCAGTGAGTCCACAACGGTAAGAACTGGGAAGAGAGCTGGGGGAAGGGAGGTTTGCATACAGCTAATGGGTCCCCCAAAGGTTTTTTTCTTCCTTATGCATCCACTAATTAGCAGTCATGTTTGAGTCTGATAAAACAGTCCCAAGTCTTCTCCATTTTCCTTCAACCAGGGGAAAGTGTCTTGCTAGACAGGCTAAGTCAGGCAGATGTACAGCTCCACCATCTTCCTTCGTGCCTAAAATCCCATAAGCAGCCCCGCAGCATGGAGACAAAGGGCAGTGCAGCACAGCAGCCTCTGCCCCTCCAGCCCTGGGGCTCTCTAGGGAATGCAACGGTCAAACCTCATACCATCCCCCAGTTACTTGTACTGTACTGGGCAGAAGGGGCTTCGCCCAAGCTCAAGGGAGCTGTGATTTAAGGTGGGGGTTCAGGACCCCAGTTCACAATATCCCACGGCTAGTGAACCTGCAGCTCTCTGTTACTTACTGGTGAGAAAAAAGAGTGAAAGAACTTGGATTCATATCTGAGTCAGAGCAAATCGATGACTAGAGCAGCCTGGGTCACAAGAGCACTATGAGTATCTCTCTTAAAGTTAAAAGATATACTACATTACATCACCATGGGTTCTTCTTGCTCATGTGTGGATTTGTATACATGGGATGCTGTGAAGGGAAGGTGTTTTTTAAAGTGTGAATGCAAGGATACTCGGGTTTGCAACCGTAAGGTTGCAGTCATAAGCTTTTTTCCCCAAAGAGGAAAAAAAATGAAACAGTTTTCCAAAGAGAACCTTCCTTCTGATGTAGTTTTCATTTTACATGACACTGGTTTGGGGATGTCAGATAAGGTTAGTGGTCTTTAACCTTGTGTATCTTGTTTTTTCCCTACTAGCTGCAATCAACTAGTGCAATAAGCCAACTGATGGGCCCATAAAAGCACAGAGAGTTTGGCTATGAAATAGAAGAACATATATTGACTGCAACTACCCCACTACTATCAGATTTCATCATGGTAATGCTAATGCACAGTAAACAGGCAACATTTCCCTGACAAGACCATGATACCATCATAGACCTCACTCTCAAGTCAGGTCGATACCAATCTACAGTTTCATGATGTAAGATTTCAGAATGGGCCTGGTGCCTCCCAAGTACCAGAGTGGATTGATGAAGGTGACACAGAGCCACTAAGGAATCACGGCACTCCTCCTGAAGCAGTGCTGGCCAGCTTGACGTTCAAAGATTATTTTCACTGCTCAAAATCACCACAATATCCCTCAGGACAAGTCCAATGGATATTTTTATTAGCTCCTTCAGGAGTACAAACATTGGCCTGGCTGCTTAATGGCATGGTTCTCCCAAACACAACCTAATGAGACTGTGCAGCGTCCAGCCTGTGCGTGGGATGTTAAACGACTCCCACCTCCTTGACTCCCATGCAGTCAAGTGCATGGGGTGTGCTCGTGGGGCAGGGGGTGAACGCTGGTTGCAATGGAGGTATATCCAGTCTTATGAAATTTCAGGACTGCAAGTAAAAAGCCACTGATGAAATTACATATGGAGTGATCTTAAGACTTGCTCTCAAAGAGGAATTTGTTCTTTAAACAGGAGCCCAACAGAAAACTGTGTGGATCCCGTCTACAGTTAACTGTGCAAAAGTCAAGGCAGAACCACACACGTTCCTCCTGCAGTCCCCAAGAAACCAGAGACACAATACAAAGGGACTACAAGTCCTCTTCTTCACAGGAGGCCAAGGGAGGTAGATGCTGAAACGGCTAGGTAACTCCACGGGAGCTGAACACCTCCACCACCCAGGTCCTCTTGACAGCCCCAGTGGCCGCTACTCCACATCCTGAGATGGCA